AGTAACATCTCTGTTCTAGCTCTGCCCAAAAGAAGCATCATTTTGGACCCACATGTAAATGGGGAACAAAGTCCCGAGAATATCCCTATTATGTGCATGGATTTGCAGACTGATTATTCAGAGTGTAGCCAAGGAAAGGTAAGGCTATGACCCATTGTTTTCCTGCGATCAATTGAATACTGTCATTTGCATTTAAAACGCTCCGAATTCACACTGTCAATATGCCAAACAGCTGCTCGGGCTTTTCAGCATTCCATGGTGACAATCACACTATCGTACATCATTGGCACCAGGATTTGCAATACTCTCAGTGTCAAAATTTTGTGGGTTTTTTTTCCCCTAAGGGAAAAAAAAAAAATAAATCTTCCCCCCCCCCCCCTTCAAAATACCCAAACCTGTGAAAAATCCACTTTTAAAATGATGGTGTTTGATGCTGCTAAGCAGGCCTTCACAGATGCCAGCATATCAAAATTCATCTCTTTTCTTCCTCTCCTACAATTAAAAGGTAGTTAAGAAAGAGGCTGTTCCTGATAGACCCACCTTCTGTTTTCTCCTTTGTATGCGTATTATTCATTAGCAGTCTAATAAGAGTTTCAAAATGCTCTGTGCCTCTGCCAGCAGGGCATATGTATGTAGACATGTGCTTGTGACAGATAAGTACATAAACAGCATATTGGCACCAGAAAGACATCTGTGCCTAGAAAAACGCTTGTGATATGTACATAAATGACATTTTAGCTCTAGTCAAGTCCTTGTGGCTTTGAGAGGAATATGTGACTGTACTCTTCTCTGTGAATACTGAAAAGGTGCATCTTTGGAGGGAAGAGTATTTTAGAGGTTTATGGAGAGCCGGAGGAAGGGCTGGGATGCGGGAAGCCGCCCCGTGCGAACAGCCGGGGTTGCAGCCCCAGCTCTGCCAGGTTGCGGCAGACGGTGGCAGGGTCTTGCCAAAGGGATCGTAGGTGGTTGCTGCCGGCAGTGCCGCAGGCATGGCCCCCTCAGGGGAAGCACCCGGCACCCCCAAAGCCTGATTCCATACGTCCGTATGGGGTCTGCCATGCAGGGTGGCGCAGGGCTGGCAAAGACAATGCGGCTCCTGGCTGTGAAGGGAATGAAGTCTTGGCTCAAAGACCAAAAAGTCAGGGGTGAGGCAGGGTCTGGAGGCACAGGGAGTGCTTCCTGCAATGGTTTCTGCTACCTATATTGAATTATCTGGCTGACAAATCACCACAACTGTATTCTGCTGCAGTAAAAAGACATTATGGTCTGTTACAGGAAGGCACCAAGCATCTCATCTTTGGGGATCCTTCCTAGATTGCACAATGGGACTCTTTGTAGGTCTGCTTACACCACTTGGTTTAGGCTCATAATGCCTCAGTTTACCCATTCATGGTGACAGTTGCCTGTCTCATAGATTTAATTACTGCTGGAAATGTCATTGTGTCCTGGAAGCTAAGTCTATGGTAGTCTAAGGAAAGCCTAGAGAATAGTTATATCTAGTATGAGGTAGGAGAGAGAGAAGATGCAAAATTGGAGGCACTTTAGGATTTTCCACTTAGGCACAGCAGTAAACATGGACTTGGCTCCCTGATTTTGGGGCTTGGATTCAGAGTCAGGGTTGATCCCTGAGCTTCCATTGGTGTACTTATGTCCTGGTTAAATCGCCCCAAGTGGGGAACCTAAGTTTAAGGATGGAGTTCAACCACATCATTCCTGAGCTTGCTCAGGGAAGTGTGGGTGCTCCAGTGTTCTCCATTCTTGTCTTTCTGCATGTACAAATCTTCTGTAGATTTTACTTGATCCAGTAAAGCAAATCCTAAAAGGAAACGAGTCCAAAGCTGCCATTACCTCCAGCTCCATTAGGACCCACCTGGGCTGGATGATGAAGCAGAATCTAAACCTGCATGAAAGCCCTTTGTGATGTGGATGTAACACGCACATCAGGGTGGTTGCTGCTGCTCACCAGCTTGCCTCTGCTAAAAATGGCACTAATCCTTTGTATGTGACATAAAAAGGAAAGAAGCAGCAAGATATTCCTTGGTGTAAATCAGGATGGGTCCTTGGACTTGGCTGAAGCTTGTCTGTTGATGTGACCTGAGCACATGGCTCCCCAGCTGGGTGAGTGTCTCGCACCTCCAACGTGGTGGACGGAACCACAGTGGTGGATGAGCTGTTACTTGCCTGAAAAAAAAGTGTTTTGGGGGAAAATTGTCTCCAGTCATTCTCTTTTTGCATGTGATTTTTTCCTACATATGTTTCTAATCATTAAGAAATTCTGTAGCTTAAATAATGCTCTGAAAGCACGGTAACTGTTGGACTACATTCTGTTGTAACCTTATTGAATTTCACTTCTCTGGAAAAAATAATGGGATACTATATCTTGAAAAACAAATGGTAATTGCATTTTTAACAGAATGTTTCTCTTTGTGTTTCAAAACCTTCTGCACACAGTTAGACATCTAGCCAGGGAAGAAGGTACAAAGCATATGGGCCAATTTCTGTCTGTTGGCTGTTCAAGATGCCTTAATATTCAAGCAGTGATATGTGTGTGTCCATGCAATATGGCACAATTTATCTACACAGTAGCCATAAGCTCAGGTGAGGTGGTCAAGAAGTTGTGTACTGGGGTTAGATATTCAAGGAGGAATTGGGGAAGGTGGGTTTACATCCTGCTCCCTATTACATGTGTGAGTGTCCATCCTTATATTAATTCACACTTTGGCTACTTGGACCACAGACAACCAATGTTCCCATGTTCGTGATGCTGAGATGCACAGGTTTATCTTCCAATTGACCAGGATCTTACAGCTAAGGGTCTTGTTGAGACTGCAAAGCCAGGTATTGTCCAACTCCTTTGTACTGCCCATGCACAGCAGTGATATGACTTCCTCAGTGCTTTGGGGATTTGCACATCACCACATGCTGAGAACTGATTTGATTAAAACCTGGGACCCAAAAGAGCACCGTCACAACACAGTTTGGTAACACGCTGGTGGTGCTGTCTATCGAGGTTAGGAGAGCCCCGGTAATACCGGAAAGCTCTTCCCTAATTTTTCAGTAAATGTGACGTGTTAAGAACTTTGTGAAGAGATGCATTTGGACATGTGAAGCTTCAAGGCAAAGTAATAGGCTTGAGGTTTCTGACTGACAAGACACATGTGAGTACATGCAAAATGTGCTCCTCCTGCTAAAAATAACATTTCTCCTGTCAACCACGATGCATCCACCCCCACAACACCACCCAGAAGAACACATTAACACCTTGGCTTTGCACGTAGCCCGATTCACAGCAGCCACAAGTGGTAGAGGGATCTGCACTCTGTGTGCATGCTGACAAATCATATGGCATAGCGAAGAACAGAGGAGTGAAACTGGGCTAGCAGAAGTTGACGCCTTATCATCACAGTCCCTTTGAGCATGCTGTAGGCTGACACCTCCACCAACCGAGTCATCTCCCTGATGCCAGGATGAAGAGCACGAGCCCACTATCCTGATTTAGCCTCTGGTAAGCAAGGCAAGGCTTGCCACACCAGGAAGGGTGGAATAGGTTCGTTGATGCAAATGTACTGTAACAGCATGGGTGCACCAGCTTGGGGACAGCAAAGCATGTCCAACCACTACTGCTCACAGCTGTGCTATGGTGACATGTAAATATACTTTATAGACCACTGATGTGAGATGTTTCTCCCATTAATGCCTCCCATTTGGTGCCTAATACCATCCAGAAATCTGTAAATAATATTGCAAACCAGGAAGCTTTGGGTTGCACATAGGTATTACATTTAAAAAGGACTCCTGCAATAACTAAGGTGCAGGTCTGTCATACAGCCTGTGTATGCTTCTGCTGGCACTGCAGTCACCAAGGCAATGAAAGCCATGGACAACAAAGCTGTTGAAAGTGGTGAAAGACTCCACTTGAAATAATTTTGGAATTATTATTTCCTAAGAAATAATTTTTTTTCCTGCAAAATTAAAGCTTTCTACTAAACTGTTAAGGACAATGAAAAATTACCATTATTTTGAACTTCTCAGCATAACTTCTAGGCAAATAATTTAAAAAACCATTAGTGACCGTTTTGCTTCAGTATAAATTTTGGTTGTTTGCACAGTGAATCTCTTAAAAGGGGTGGAAACAAGTTGTAGCTAAAATGCTGGCAAGTGAGGCGCGGTCGATTCTTGGTCAGGGAGGTCACTGTCAGTCCACTGCAGCCTTTCCCTGGGACAACACGTAGCTTTATTCAAAGGAGATTGTCAGAAAACCCAGGAGATTTAAATGCATAAATTCCAATCTCTTCTTTAGCTGGCAAGCACATGAGCCTACATTCTCACTCTTGAAATTAAGCTCCTTTAACTCTCATTTAAGTGGTTAGGGAGAGCCCTGGGCTTTCGCAGTGCTTCCCTTGCCTGAACTTCCTTTGATGGCTCTGGCAAAGCCAACCAGGCTTTGAAGGATGCTGAAGGCACCCAGTCCTTTGCAGATGGTGTTTAGCACTTAACAGGATCAGCCCCTTAGTGACTTGTATGGTGCCCATCACCTCAGATGCCTTACTGGTTTTTATATTATGCAACGCCCACCATATGTAATTAGCCAAGTAAGCTGCTTTCTCCTAACCTCAACTGTTTGTAAACGCCTATAATCCCAGCTAGGTGTCTGTATAAAGGAGCTCCATGTTAGGGGCAGAAGGGAGCAATATTCTTCCATAAGAAAACTAGGGAGTTTACAGACATGTAAAGCTAAAGGTTTGCAGGATTGCTTTTGTTTGGCCAAAAGTTTGGAGTTTTTGGGGTTGGTTTTGGAGATCCTGATGTTTAAACGCAGCTATTCAGCTGCTGGTCTGGCAGTAGCTGTACATGAGAAAGCAGCTCGCCCATGGCAAGTCCTGTCCCCAGTACGTTATCAGCATCTTAGCTTGTTTTGTTTTCTTTCCAGTCCTTTCTTACTCCTGTTCTAGCCAAAGTAACATCAGCACCAAATACCTTCCTGGAGTTCATCAGCCAAGATGGAGCTTCAGTTTTGGCCTGGTTTGGTTTCCCTCTTGGAAAAGCTGAATGTTTGGATGCTTTTGGTGGTCCTGGTCACCTTTCTTTTGATTACTGACCTTGTGAAAAAGAGACGACCCAGGAATTTCCCTCCAGGGCCACAGCTCTTTCCTCTTGTTGGAACCATTGTGGACCTTAGGCAGCCCCTCCATCTTGTGCTGCTGAAGGTAAGAGTTCCATGAACATTTCTCCTACTAACAGTATTTTACCTGAAGACAGTGATTTTTGTCACTAAACCTGTGATGCAAGGGCAGCCTCTGAAGAACTAGCTATGTAGTAGCCATATATGATAGGCACCCTTCTCTAGTTTTATTTCTTATTATCGTGTCCTCTTCCATGGGAGTAGGAAGGTCCAATGGAAAGAAACACATCATGGAGGAAGAATTACATGCTCCTTCTCTTTTTTCCCATCTGACCATCACTATTTTCTGCTGGAGCCCAGGAAGGGTTTGGAGGGGCCAGGCCAGTCTGGGGAACGGTTGGCAAGTATTGAGTGAGAAACGAGGTGTTTGGACTATAAAGATCACCTCTGGAAATTGTCTTATCATTGTCCTTGCTCAGAGGCCAGTGATTCACCCCATTAGATCTGAATGAAACCTTTAAGACCCTGAGTTGACCATTCCTGTTGCAGAAAGGGGCAGTGACTGCAAGAGCGTTAGGAGAAGTTCTGACTTGCTGATTGCAAATATCCTTTCCAGTGACTTTTACTTAGCAAGCTGACACCAGTCTAACTACCCTGGATTTTAACAGGGCAGTAGCACAGTTGTCTCCCCAGGAGGGAACCCTCTGGGAAGGCTGAGGCAGCCTGCTCAGGATATTTGTCACATATACACACAATTATTACTAAAAAAATTAATCTCACACATTGCCTGAGACACCCATTTGGTCTCAGACTGGTTTCATGAGTCCCCACAGCAGTTCAGAGTGACTGTGGGTTTTTCACGTAGACCCATACTAAAAAGACAATGGCCTGAGCTCTGTGGCAGAGTGAGACCTGAGAGATGATATGGTCACCTTTTGCTCTTATACATCAGGGAGTCAAAGGCTGCAGAGGAGACACTAATGCTAGCAAAGGCCATGCAAGGAAAATGGCTATAATTTGACCATAAATTCATTCAGGCTTAAAATTAGAAGTAGGTTTCGAGCCATCAGCAGTTTAACCCACTTTCATAAATGGGATAGCTGAAGCAGGAAACCACACGATGTTAGACACAAAGTTGATGAAAGGGATCATTTGTTTTGCTTTGCCCTCTGCAGCAAGTCTGGGCATGGTGACCTCTCGTACCCTTGTATACAAAAATATAAGCAAACCACCTCTCCCACACTACAGCTCTCTAGCACTTTTTATGCCATCTCCAGCCTTCATGGAATAGTTTAGACCAGATGGGACCTACAACTTGGGTTTGGGTTTTTCTTAAGTCCCTTTGCTTCAAACAGGGCTAAATTCAAAGTTAGATGCTATTGCTTGAGGTCTTGCCCAGGTGAATTTTGCAAATCTCACCCTTCTTGCTCTCAGAGGCTGATGAACTCTCTTTCAGCTTACTGCTCGGTATGGGAACATCTTCAGCGTGCAGTTTGGAAGCCTGACGTTTGTGGTAGTCAACGGGTACCAGATGGTGAGAGAAGCTTTTGTCCACCAGGCTGAAATATTTACAGATCGGCCAAATATTCCACTCCTCCAAGAAATATTCAGAGGCTTTGGTAAGCACGGATTTTGGTACAAATGTTTCATCCACTTGCAGTGGTAACAATTACAGTGAAACAACCGGGTTGAACTAGAGCCTTGCTAACTGCACCCATAAAAGGTTGCACGGAGGAGGGCAATCACTGAATTCGGTCTCATAATCACACAGGTATACATTTTAATCTCTCTAATAATGACAAGGATGGGATCAAAGTCAGTTCTTGATGAAAGAAGAGAAACAAATGCAAGCTGCCCAGGGATTGATACACGTGAAGAGTTTTCCCCTTGGTTTTAATTTCTCCTTTACTTTTTCTCCATCAGCTGCATATAGCTCCAGAGACAGGGTATGGTGCTCCTGCTTGCAGCTCTGCCAACAGCGTGATAGTACTCATAGTATTTTGGCTTACACTTTTTTTTCCCACACAAAGTGACAAAGTAGCAGATTAAAGCAAATCCATAAAGCTAGATCTTTAGCATAAGCCAATTACTCCTGAATTTTAACTCCCAGGGAAAGCTATAGTTTTTCTATGTCTGTGGGGTTTGTTTGCTTTGGTTTGGGGTTTTTATTCAAGGTGAAAGGCCATTTCTGAATCCTATTGTTCATATGCTCCATCCCTAGCAGTGTTCAAGGCCAGGTTGAACGGGGCTTGGAGCAACCTGCTCTAGTGGAAGGTGTCCCTGCTCATGGCAGGAGGCTGGAATTGAATGTTCTTAAGGTCTTTTCCAACCCAAACCATTCTATGATTCTATATGACCCAGAGCAAGACTAGTTTGCTTGGTTTTACTGCCTACAGGGCTCATATCATCAAATGGGCATATTTGGAGGCAACAGAGAAAGTTTACTCTAGCAACACTGAAAAGCCTTGCTGTAAGTTTTGAGGAGAAAGTGCAAGAGGAGAGCCGGTACCTTGTGGAGACGATTGAGGAGGAGAAAGGTAGGTGGTTAAGGTACAGCATCATGTGTAAAGCTTCCAGCTCAGTGAACTATGAGTAGTAAAACTCTTACTCCGAAGCAGCTCCTAACATGCAAAACATTTCTCAGCTCAAATCTTACATTTCCAGACTGTGCCTTTTAGCATTTATTTAGACCTCAAGCCTAATATTTTAGTTCCTCCTTATTAATATTAGGCAAATACATGTTAGGTATTTATTAGACCTTGCATGTTTATATGACTAAGAAAGCCTCTCCTGTGTTCTGCGAAGGAATAAATGCAGCTGTCCTGCTGTCAGGCACATATGCTCGGAAGCTCAGTTAACCTCTGCTTGTCCTTGGTTTTGCAAAGTATTTTAAAACTTGTTTAGTCAGGCTTTCCTTTTGTATCAGGCACAGATGAAGCGTGTGCATTGCTCTTTTATGGCCCAGCTTTTAAGAACTGCCAGAGCGATATTAGTAAGAATAATTTGTATGTTGGTACATGGGTGATGTTGCACTTCAGCTTTAAATAGAAGCAGATGGGGTTGAGCTAATTCTATGGAGCTATATATAGTAAACAAGAAAGATCTAAATAGGAATTGTGAAATTATATACTGAACTTGCTCCATTTTAATTGCTGTTGCACTGAACAGGCCAAATACTTCATGTTGCCAATTGATTATAGTCCTTTATAGTCCTAATCAATAAACTAATTAAGCTGCTGGTTTGGGCCTTTCTTCCATTAGTAATGACAAATAGTGATCATGTCCATCACTCTAATATCTGAGCACCAGTCCACTTTAATTATTTTCTTGAAGAGTGGGGATATCAGCAGTCCTGTGCCTTGCATTTCAAAGTGATGCTCCCCAGCATACCCACAGCAGCTCAGGGCTGGACTGGATTCTTTACTCATTCTAGAATCTCATATCATGGCAAGTAGCTCTCCAGGCTGCCTAAATGTGCCCTAGGAGATGATAGCTCTTCCAAAGAACGAGATGTGACAAACATCACAGTACAGTTTGCTCTCATAGGAGCTGATGTGCATCACAACGTAGGTGGGCCATATGAGCCACTGGTGGATTTTAGAGGTGGGTGCAGAGACTTGCAGTCCTCTCATTCTTCCCTCTCTCCTCCATCTCACTTCATTTCTTTGTGGTGGACAGTGTAACGGCTTTTTTGCAGTGTGGTTACTCACGAGCTCCCTGCCGTGCTCTAAGCTTCCAGGGACTCTCTCCTGGTGTTTAAAATTCGCACTAAAAACACATTAGAGCAGGCAAACTCAGTAGCCATAGCATGGCACGCTCCTGGTTGTTTTCCCTGGAAAACGGTTCAAGCCCTGCTTCAGCAGCTCTGTCCCAACATCAGTGTGTGCCAGCAGCCTGGGCTGGAGAAAGGAGGGGATGTCCTCAGAGAAATGATGTTGTGGTTCACAGTGCCCAACCTCCAGCTCCTGGAGGTGGTAGGAGTGGTGGGGACACCATGGATGAAAAGTAGATGAGGTCTCATCGCATCTTCACAACCATTGATCTGGTAGAGAATGTGGTTTTGCCTGAGACTTTAAAGAAAAAAGATAAATCTGCCTTTCATTTCGTTTGCTTCAGGCCAGCCATTTGACCCTCATTATAAAATTAATAGTGCTGTTTCGAACATCATCTGTTCCATAACTTTTGGGAACCGCTTCGACTACCATGACAACCGTTTCCAGGAATTGCTGCACTCGCTGGCTGAAACGCTGCTGCTCATCGGAAGCTTCTGGGGCCAGGTAAGGCCAATTGGATGCTTTTCTAGCTTCAGCTGCATGTGAGTTCTCAGAAACCAGAGTTTCTAAGTCACTGACGTAATCTGCTGTTCCCTGTACAAAAAAAAGAGTCATGTTATAAGGGAAATGACCATGAGTATTGTTTTACATTAGACTGGTTTTATACCCAAAATTCATCAGGAAAGTAATGAAACAAGATAAATTATTGAGGCACATGGAAATAAAACACTACAGGATTGTGAAACCAATCTTACACCTGACACAACAAAAAAACAACAGGAAAACCTTTAAAATACCTGTTTCTACAAAAAGAAGGGCCAACAGTAGCACTCTCTGTGAAGATTCCCACCTTTTCCACCACCTCTTTCCCAACCAGTTTCTTACAGAATTTTTATTCATGATAAAACTGCCTGAGTCCAGATTTACAACCAAAAGAGGTGGATTTGGGGACATAGCTTCTGCATGGCCACACACCGTAGGTCAAGTCTGACCTCTGCCCCTTTGTGGACCCCAGTACTAAGGGGCTTCTCTGCATTCACACTGATTTCTGACTCCATGGCCACCTCCCATTAAGTGACAACTTTGGCCACCCAAGAGAACTTTATCAGCAGAAAACAGTGGGGTGATTCTTACCTTGTTTGTATTTGTTTCCATGTGTGTAACCACATTGACCCTTGTAGTAAAACTGGTATTTTTCTGGTAGCAAGCAGAGCTAATAAATTGTACTATCATTCCAATTCTGATACCTGCTCTTTTTTAACTCAAGAAATACTCTTTTGCTCTCTTTGATTTCTCACCAGCTGTACAATGCTTTCCCTTTCATCATGAGATGGCTGCCAGGACCCTTTAGGAAAATCTTCAAGCACTGGGAGAAACTGGAGTGCTTTGTAAAAGGAGTGATCGCAAAGCACAAGGAGGATTTGGACCAGTCTGAGGCAAGAGATTATATTGACTGTTACCTGAAGGAAATCGAAAAGGTGAGAGGAAAACGCTTAGAAGGTAAGAGAGAAATGCTTACAAGGTAAGAGGAAAATACTTAAAGCTTAACCCATAAAATGAGCAGACAAGCTTCAAGGCTGTTTTGTCAGAGGAGCACTTGCCTCCCGTGTTGCCTTCTCCTTCCTACCTCTTCCACGCCAAACTTTTTAGCAACAGCAGGAGACTGATCACTTTGAAAACACAGATTTTTTTACATTTGGAAGTATTTACACTTTGCTTTCTTCCATTTTTCATTCTGTCACACGGCGTAGGAGGGCTCTCAGGGAACGTGTTCATGTTTCTAGGAGAGCTCACAGGCCTGTGTTTGCTGTTGTGAAACTTCACATTTGAAAATGCTACCTGCTTTCAAGACTCACTGTACAGCAACCAGGGTCTTTCAGAGCAGTCTGTAGGGCTTGAAATTCAATGGAAATAAGGAGTGGAAATTTCCAACTCTGGGTTTGTCCTGGGCTAATCTGTAACAGCTGTTTTTCTTCCTAGTGGCTTTAGTCTGAGAACAATGCTGATAACACCGATGTTTTAGTTGTTGCTAAGTAATGCTTACTCTGATCAAGGACTGTTCCGTCTCTCATGCCCTGCCAGTGAGGAGGGGCACAAGAAGCTGGGAGGAGGCAGACACAGGACAACTGACCCAAACTAGCCAAAGAGATGTTCCATACCACAGCACCTCATGCCCAGTATAGAAACTGGGGGGTGTTAAGAGGAAGGGACTGATTGCTACTCAAGGTCAGGCTGAGTATTGGTCGGCAGGTGGTGAACAATTGTGCATCACTTGTGTTTTCTGAGCTTTCATTTCTTCTCTTGTTGTTTCCTATTATTATCATTATTATTATTATTGATGTTTGTGGTATATTTTACTTTGTTTTAGTTATTAACTTGTTCTTATTTCAACCCGTGGGGTTTACATTCTTCCGATTGTCCTGCCCATCCTGCCCTGGGGAAGAAAGGGAAGGGGAGAAGTGAGCAAACAGCTGAGTGGTGCTAAGTTACCAGCTGGGTAAACCATGACAGGGTTGGTGGGTAATAAACTGGAAGCAGGACTTCAGTTACATACAGGTGGTTTGGGGTCAGGTTTTTGAGACCATCCTCTCTTTAGTAAGAGTTCTCATTGCTATGTTTTTTTCCCCAAGTCTAAGGGTGACACCAGCTCATATTTCCATGAGGAAAACCTCCTGTGCTCCACCCTGGACCTCTTCTTAACTGGGACTGAGACAACGGCAACTGCCATCCGCTGGGCTCTGCTCTACATGGCCACGTACCCCCACATTCAGGGTAGGGCTGTGGATGGGTCCTTCGTTTGGTCCAAAACTAGATAAGTGAAACTCAGAGTTATTTCCAGCTCTACCACATGTTGGACGTGCCTGTGCCCCAGGCTTCTTATTGGAAACCTTTAGAACACAGATATTGCTTTGCTTTCCTTAGAGAAAGTGCAACTTGAAATCGACACGGTGATCGGTCAATCCCGCCAACCCACGATGGCCGATAAGGAGAACATGCCCTACACCAGCGCGGTGCTGAGTGAGGTCCTGAGGATGAGCAACGTTGTACCCCTGGGGGTGCCCAGGATGTCCACCAGTGACACCACCCTGGCTGGCTTTCACCTGCCCAAAGTACGTGGAGGCCACCAGCCTTCCCCTCATCCCACCACAGCAGGATCTTCATGGCTTAGGTCCCAGATCTCACCTGGAGGGGAGCCAACCCACAGGATCTTATGGAAATATCACGCTTATATAGAAAATACAAGCTCCCATATGAAGACAGGCTGAGAAAGCTGGGGCTGTTCAGCCTGGAGAAGAGAAGCTGCATGGAGACCTCAGAGCAGACTTCCCGTATCTGAACAGGGCCTACAAGGATGCTGGAGAGATCTGGGACTGTAGTGACAGGACAAGGCATAATGAGTTCAAACTTAAATAGGGGAGATTTAGGTTAGATATTAGGAATAAATTCTTTATCATGAGGGTGGGGAGGTGTTGGCACAGACTGCCCAAGGAAGCTGTGGCTTTGGCAGTGTTCAAGGCCAGGCTGGACACAGAGGCTTAGAGCAACCTGCCCTCGTGGAAGGTGTCTCTGCCCTTGCAGGGGGTTGGAACTGGATAAGCTTTAAGGTCCTTTCCAGCCCTAATTCTATGAACCCATGATGAATGCTGCAGGGCTGTTACGGGTCACACGTCCTTATGGAGGAGAATTGTGAGATATTATGGTGTTGACATGGTTTAGTGTGAGGTGTCCCTGCAGGGGGTTGGAACTTGATGATCCTAAGGTCCTTTCCAACCCTAACTATTCTATGATTCTATGGTCATAGATTTCAACTGTAAAAGGTTTATGCCTTAAGTTTTACAAAAGATGCCCTCCACACATTATCGAAATAGAGGCCCAAGAGACACATGGAAGCAATTCGTGTTTGTTAATTCCTCAGAGTACTAAAAATCATCTATTAACAGTATCACTTGATAAAGGCCAGGTAATAGGTATTGATGAGTACACACTGTTCTGCAACTGTGAAAGCAAAGATGAGATTTAGATATAACTGTTCTCTTCCATGTATATGACTGGTTGCATCAAAGAAAATTAAAAGTAATAAATCTGTTCATTTTGCTCTACACTTACTAGAATATCTCTTTTTCTGATGGAAGACGTGGAGATTAACCAGATGAGGTTTAGAATAAAAGGACAAGAAAGCAGATCGATTGAAAATTAGTTGGCTAAATTGTTCCAAATTCCAATGGGAACACGGTGTCACCAATCTGAAGCTGGTTTATGTCAACATCCCCAGTTACAGCAGCACGAGGCAAGGATCAACACTCTGGTGACACACAGAGGCGCACAGAAGTGAACAATCCCGTAGGCTTTCACCCTCATTTAATTACACAGCTCAGGAAAAAACAAACACATTTTGGCTTTTAAAAAAAGATGTAGTTTATATTGTATGTGGAATGGAGCTAATAATAAACTAGTCTGACAACACGTCGGCTGTTCTCTGTCATGTAATTGCCTGGTTTCTCCACCTCTCGCAGGGCACCACCGTGATGACCAGCCTGACTTCGATAATGTTCGACAAAAACGTGTGGGAGACTCCCGACACCTTTAATCCTGAACATTTCCTGGATAACGGCCAGTACAGGAGGCGGGAGGCTTTTCTGCCCTTCTCTGCAGGTAGGATGATGGATGGGGAGGTGGTTTTTCCTGCTGCAATGCTTTTTCCACCCCCTCAAGACACCTCCTCCAGCGTAGGGGGCACTGCTCCTTGTCCACCTTTCAGCCCATCCCCGCAGTGAAAATCCCAAGTCACAGTTCACACTGCCTGCTCGGAGCGGGAGGGGAATCAATTTGGTGTTGCAGGATGATAAAATAAGGCTTTTTCCTCTTGCGCAAGCTGCCTAAAGGTTGTTTTCTTTCGCTGCGTTCCCCCTCCCGCTCTCTCCGAGCTCGGCAGCAAACTTGCGGGGAGGGTTTCTGCAGGATGTGTGGGTGAACATTGCCACCTAACCTTTCGAGGAAGAAAAGCTCCCGCAGCCTGCGCAAAGCAGCGCATGCGAGAGGAGCCCGAGAGGTGGTTGGAGCTCGCTCGGGACTCAGTGGGGGTTATTTCGGCTCCTTTTCCAGGTAAGCGGGCTTGTCCCGGGGAGCAGCTCGCCAGGACCGAGCTCTTCATCTTCTTCACAGCCCTCCTGCAGAAGTTCACCTTCCAGGCGCCAGAGGCTGCCACGCTGACCTTCGCCTTCACACTCAGCCTCACACGCTGCCCCAAGCCCTTCCAGATCTGTGCACTGCCTCGGGACTGAGGCCAGCCTGCGGCTGCCCCCGACCCTCCCTGCTTCCCAAGTGTCGCAATCAGCCCCATAGATTTGGGGCTGGAATGATGGGCCATGGATATCAAGCACACTCTAATATGTGGGTGGCAGTGGGCAGGACAGGAGGGGCACATAGAATCATAATTTGGGATGGAAGAGACCTTCAAAGGTCATCTAGTCCAACCCCCCTGCAATGAGCAAGGTCATCAACTACATCAGGTTGCCCAGAACCACATCCAGCCTGGCCTCCAATGCCTCCAGGGATGTGCATCTACACATCCTGCACACTTCAATGAGGACAACCCTAGCGGCTCTTCCCTCTATCAGTTTAACAAAGTGCGAGAATATTAAAAGCCTTATTACTTAATTTCAGCCATTAGCAACTTGCAGGAAGGTGTCTGCCAGCTGCAAAACCATGGGCACAGTTGGGTCCATGGCTTTTAATTAATTAAAAGCTGATTAAATAGGCACGAGTTAATTAAAAAGGCAACTTGAAGAGATTAATTTTTTTTTTCCATTTATGCGACCAAGCATTGAGGCTTAGAAATGCAGTTTCCTGCGTGCTTTTGTTTGGAAGATAGGCATAGCAAAGATTGCTTTTTTCCTCTCTTCTCCTCACCTTTCATAAGAAGTGACTTTTCCCTGGGCACCCACGTAGGATCCAGAATAGTTAACAGGAAAAGAGAATTAAATACAGTTCCGTTTCCGCTGGCTTCAGCCTCCCTCTCCGGCAATAAGCGCCTTTGCTGCGGTGCAAAGCAGTCCCTGTGCAGTGGCGGATTTACGCCGCATGGGAGAGTCCTTTGCCCATCACATCCTCACTACGCCGGGCACTCGAGGGTTTGTCGATGAGTTGCTGCCCTAAGGTCACTACCTAAGGATAAGACCTGCTGCAGTTTGAATGGATGGTTCGCGGTTACAGGCTCCGGTGGATGGGGTTTTGCCTGGCTAAAAGAGAAAACAGACAAGATCGGTGGCTTTTTTCAACTGTGAGGGTTTCAAAGCCATTCAGGACTAGGTGCTGGTTTCTCTCCACTCTGGCATAGGTCTGACCTCTGGTTTGACACTACAGCTTGTATTACTTGCACTGGTTTAGCAAATAAATGTTGATCTCTTCCCGATTCCATTACAAAATGCTTTTCTTTATCACTTTAGGGCTTCCTTCCCTACTCATGAAGGGAGTAGATCATTGAAGGGTTCTTTTTCTTCCTTTTCTCTGAAATCTATTGGGAAAAAACCCACCCTTCCCTCCCCGCCATTTTTCAATGTAATGATCACATAAAGGCAGGAGATATGACTTTGTTTTTTACACTTCTGAGTGGAATATCTCACGTGAGGGAAGGGAAACACATGCATCATTTCAAGCCTAAGTATGCTTAAAAGCCAGAGGTAAAAAGAGAAAAAAACAGTGAGTTGGGCTGGGGCAGCCTGGAGAAGAGAAGGCTCCTGAAGGGGAGACCTTAGAGCAGCTCCAGTGCCTAAAGGGGCTGCAGTAAACCTGGAGAGGGGCTTGGGACAAGGGCCTGTAGGGACAGGCCAAGGGGAATGGCTTTAAATTGGCAAACACCCCTGCTTCTTTCACAATAAAACACCACACATACATCAAAATTCAGTGTGGGGTATGTGCAAGATCGACTGCCTGTCCCAGAGCCACTCTCAGAAGGGAAAATTAGCACAGCCTGTTACCAGCTTCCCCAAAGGGCCACAGCATCTGCTTTAGCTTTCCAGCTCCTGCCTTAGCTTTGTTGGGCTTTCAGCAGCTCCAGCATGGGCTATAGACTCAAAGGCAGGTGAGAAGGGATGGCTGGAGGGCTCAGTGTAGGCCACCCTGATGGCCAGAGAAAGTTGTTCTGCTTGCATTTGCTTATCAGAGATCAGACAATCACAGTGCTTAGAATCCACTGCACATCCCGGATGGGTGTTGGCTTTCAGCCCACATCACCCTGACGCACTGAAACCCCAGCCCCTGAGTCAGATGGTGGCTTGTGAAAGGATTGTGCAACCTCATCTCGGATGTCCCTGCTGCCCTAGGGCTCGGTCTGGCACTGGTCCTACCAGTGGCAGAGCTTCCCCAAACAGCACAAGTGCAAGGTGCTCAGAGCGGCTGGAGCCTCCCCAGCACCGGGAAGCTGACACCAGGACACAGCACGGTGAGAGGACCATGGGAAGGGGAGAGCAGGGCTTGCACCAGGGCATGGGCTTATGGGAATGGCATGGGGAGGCTGTCAGAAGGTTTTAATCCTGGTCCCGCAAAGCTTGTTTCTGTCCTTTAGACGAGGACGTGGATCACTGGTGTTTCGTAATGCAGCAGTGGGAGGCCAGAGGGGAAAGGGGGAGCTTTGGGGTGTTTTGGTGTGTGATTTTTTGTTTTTAATGAGCTCAGAGGAAATGTGTGAATTTAATCAAGAAGGGAGCTGATCAAACGGTCCTTGCTGCAACCTGGGAAAGCAGGAGTCCAAACAAAGCCTCCAAAGCTAGGTCAGTGAAAGCTGCTCCATGCTGTTTCATGTGTGTGTTCCCACAGCTGTGACAGCATCTTGACCATCTCCCCCTGTGCCTGGGGCTTCAGTGGTGCCCCGTGAGCTCGACCTGCCCTGACCCCACCATCCAACCATGCTGCGCTTCCTGTGGGACAGCATCTCCTTCCAGGTGATCCTCGTCTTCTTATTTGTCTTTCTCCTCGTCACCGACTACATGAAGCGCAGAAAGCCAAAGCACTTCCCTCCCAGCCCGATCTCCTTACCCTTTCTGGGGCACATCTACCTGGTGAACTTCAGTGATCCCCAAGCAGTGCTGAACAAGGTACAAAGGATGTGGGTACCTTGGGGAAGGGAATGGGGAGGATTGGAGCTATGCAACCTTTGCAGTGTGGGGAAGGGTTAACCAAAACCCCATGGACCATGAGGACTCATAGAAGCAAAGCCCAGGGCAGGCAGGAGGTTTGCCCTCAGTCAGCAGCAACGTGTATGAAGTTTGCCTTCGTACAAGGAGGGGGGCAAGTGCAGAATGATCCTTTGGGCAAAGGGCATGACATGATACCATGGGTGCAGTCGCGGCAGTAGTAGCTCCATAGGTCTGAGCAGGGATTGGAAGCGTGTTTGGGAAGGGAGTGAAAGAAAAGCGGGAAAAACACAGGACGGAAAAATCAAACCTGTCAAGTTTCACTTGATTTATGGCCAGTTAACACCAACGCCTGATCAGTGACTTGCGATAAGAGGAAATAAGAGGAGACAACACACAGGCAAGCAGACACTTGTGCAAACATCCCGTTTCCACTCCCACTCCCAGCTTCCCTTAGTCTCACCCATGTCCTCTGACAGGGCTGTCCCTGTACGAACAGACACATTCACTGCAAATGAAACCCCTTTTCTTTATTTCCCACCCCTTCCCAGCTTCATGCAAAATACGGGGACATCTTCAGCATGCAGATGGGGCATGTACCGTTTGTGTGTGTACACGGGCTGCGGATGATTAAGGAAGTTCTTATAAACCAAGCGGAAAACTTCATGGATCGCCCTGAAATTCCTATTGACAAGGAGATCTTCAGCAGCTTGGGTGAGTTATCCCTCAGGTCAAAGCACTGGTCCTGTAGAGGTCCAAGACAGCTGAGATAAGGGAGAGCCCTGAAGCTTTTTCCCCATGGTGGAGGGATCTGCCTTGCTTTGGCTCATGGTGGGGTGTTCCTGCCAGGACTGATCTCCTCCAACGGGCACTTGTGGAAGCAGCAGAGGAGATTTGCCTTGACCACGCTTCGAAACTTTGGCCTTGGGAAGAGGGGCCTGGAAGAGCGCATCCAGGAGGAGTGCCGATACCTTGTGGAAGCATTTGGGGAAGAACAGGGTGAGTGCCATGGCCCTCATATGCTGTGCTGAAGGCAGGTATCATCTGTGATTCACTGTATGCTGAAATATACCTTGCCTTGCAAGTGATGCTAGCACCCTGCCAGCATGCCAGCTCCCTGTTGCAGGTGCTTTGCCTTCAAACTGACTGGTGAACGCAGGCAGGTAACACCCCAAGTGTTATTCGAAGCCCACCTACAACCTGCTGCTCTCCTGAGATCCCTGGAAAATCCCATGTGTGTAAACACCGATGTTCCCAATGAATTCAAGTGATGTCCATTCTGCTTTGCACACTAAACAGACATCTTCCCTATCTGATTGAACTGGGACCACTGCGGTTGCCCATCAGCTCATCAGCTCATGGAGGGGGCAAGGCCAGGAGAGCAGTGACACAGGATGTTGCCCGTCAAGGTTCCACTGTCCTGGGGTTAAAGCCACAACAGCCACTCATTTCACTCACATTTATTGAATATTTTACCTCTGACAATTGTGTTTTCTTCTTTGCTGTGAAGCGTGGAAATGAATCGATCGTTCCCTTTTCCTTCTCCAGGGAATCCTTTCAATCCTCAACATAAAGTCACTAACGCCGTTTCAAACGTCATCTGCTCTGTCACCTTTGGCAATCGGTTTGACTACCATGATGAGAAGTTCCAAAAACTGCTGGAGCTGTTGAATGAGACTTTTGTTCTCCATGGGACTGTCATGACCCAGGTACAGCCTTCCTGCCACCAGCATGGATGGCGTGCAGTTCTGCAGGGCCATAGTTTCTTCTGAGTCAACCTCTAAACCTGTATCATTCACATCACCAAATGTTGTTGCCGTTCCTTATTCCTTTGTACGGGGTTAGATTTGCCTGTAGTTTCTTCCTGCCTTATTTTCAAGCTGTGCATGTTCATGTTGCTCTCTTTCACCCCACATCCTGCCCATCAACTGCCAACCTGCCTCCTGTAACACTGGGTAATGCACAAGTCACTCTGTAATAGGAACACCAATCCCTTGCAGTGCCCTTCTGGAGCCGAGCTATCTCCACCAACTCTAGTAATTTATTAAGCTTGAAGGCTCCTCAAGTTTTGATAACAGAAAGGGGTTTTTTTCAGTCCTTTATTAAATTTGCCTTTCTCCTTTTGTGTCCAAAGCTGTACAACTCCTTCCCGTCTATAGTAAAGTACTTGCCTGGATCCCACCAAACCATTTTTAAAAACTGGAAGCATATGAAAAGTTTTGTGCAAGAGAAAATTGACAAACACAAGGAGGACTGGAACCCATCGGAGAGCCGGGACTTCATTGACAGCTACCTGACAGAGATGGCCAAGGTCAGCAATGTGGTGTAAGCCCTCCTGAAATTGGGCTTAGAAATAAGGAGGGATGAGAAATCATAGAATGGTTTGGGTTAGAAAGGACCTTAAGATCATCCAGTTCCAACCCCCTGCCATGGGCAGGGACACCTCACACTAAACCGTGTTGCCCAAGTCTCTGTCCAACCTGGCCTTGAACACCGCCAGGGATGGAGCATTCACAACTTCCTTGGGCAACCCATTCCAGTGCCTCACCACCCTCACAGTAAAGAACTTCTTCCTTGTACCCTACCTGAACTTCCCCTATATAAGTAAGTATAAACCCATCTCGCCTTTTTGTGCAGAACAATGCCAGCGGCAGCTTACAAGAGGAAAACCTCGTGGCCTGCACACTGGACCTGCTGTTGGCTGGGACCGAGACCACTTCCACAACCATCCGCTGGGCTCTGCTCTTTATGGCCAAGTATCCAGAAATTCAAGGTACAATTAGCAAAAGCTCAGTGTTTTCCCTTGCATTTAGTGCTGACACCTTCATGAGAGACTCTCCTTTGGAGGGGAAAAGTTGGGAACCTCCCACCACTCACCTAGAAGAGGTGCAAACAGCAGCAGATTGGTCCCTGGGGGACCCTCACAGCAACCACCTTGTACCTTGGCTGATCCCTGCTCTTTCCCACCAGCCCGTGTGCAAGCTGAGATCGACGCAGTCATCGGGCAGGCACGGCAGCCAGCCCTGCAAGACAGAGACAGCATGCCCTACACCAACGCTGTCATCCACGAAGTGCAGAGGAAAAGCAACATCATCCCATTCAATGTGCCAAGGCTGACGATAAAGGACACGTTTGTGGATGGCTTCTTCATACCAAAGGTAACCCTGCTCCTGAGTGCTGAGACTTCAGTAAGCAGCATTGCTTGGATGGCAAAAGCAGATGTTCACTAGGAGCGAACTCTGGACAGGGCAGAGATGCTGTGGCTCTGTCCCACC